ATTTCAGTCCACATTTTAAAGAGGCTACAGAACGGTTCCCAATTGGCAAAGGAGTCAGGCAACGATGCATTGTATCACCCTATCTGTTCAACATATAATAATAATAATAATAATAATAATAATAATAATAATAATAATAAGTTTTTATTTGTATTTTCCCATCTTTCTCTGAAGATCGAGGCGGGATTACAGAATAATATAAAATAATGTAAAAATACAATATATAAAATACAGTAAAAAAAAACACGCATAACAACAATAAAAACCCCACAATCCTTATAATAATATGCAGAAAATATACACAGAGCAGGTTCAGACTCAGAAGAAGAAGAAGGAGTGAAGATCGGAGGAAGAAACATTAACAACCTAAGGTATGCAGAGCACACCATACTACTAGCAGAAAAACAACAAAGACTTGGAACAATTACTAAAGGAAGTGAAAGAAGCAAGTGCTAAAAGGTAGGCTTGATGCTGAATATTAAGAAAACAAAACAAAAATAATGGCATTGGAGAACTCCATGAATTCAGCCTAGACAACAAGAAAACAGAAATAGTCAAATTCCCATACCTGACCAAACACTGACCAGAGGAGAGATGGCAGTCAAGAAATCAGATGAAGACTAAGAATGAGGAGCGCAGCTATGGACGTTATCACACGTGGCCCCGAAACCAAAAATAAAGTGGAAATGAGGCATCCCGAAAATAAACCTTGTTTCCGCAAACGTCATTACCTTCATTGCGCATTTACAGTAACTGCATTGAACGTCCACACACAAGAAAAAAAAACCCCTAAATGTAGCCGAAATGAGCCTCCTGCACATGCGCAGATAGAGTAATGCTCGCGGGAACCATGGGTAATGACAGGGAAATGCTCCCCAATACGTATTTGGCGATCACATTTGCAGTAAATGCGAAATGATCCTCATCGCGCAATTGCAATTCCTCAAGAAACCGAAATTCAAAAGATCTCGGTTCTTTCCACTTTCTGTCCACTTTCTGTCGGGGTTCTGTGCGACGTCGTGTGAAAACACGGCCAAATAATCCGGTTTTGGTCGGGATTTCGTTTGGATTTCGTTTGCATTGGGCCCCGTGTGATAACGTCCTATGAAAGAACTAGACAAAATCCTAAAGTGTAAAAAGATATACAGCTGAACACTAAAGTTAGAATTGTTCAAGACATTGTATTCCCCATTACCATGTATAGATGTGAGAGCTGGGCAGTCAAGAACGAAAATAGGAAGAAAATTCATTCATTCAAGGTGCGATGCAGGAGAAGAGCGCTGAGGATACTGTGGGCCAGTGAAAAAGCCAAACAAATGGGTCCTAGAATGGATCGTCCAAACTCTCCCTGGAAGCCAGGATGATCAAACTGAGGTTGTCCTACTTTGGGCACATGATGAGAAGCAAAGACTCTTCAGATTAGAAAATGATGCTATGAAAAGTGGACGGCAGTAGAAAGAGAGGAAGATGGCATGCTAGATGGACAGACTCCGACGTCTCATTCACAGGGCTGCCATGAGTCAAAGTCAACTCACGGACAGCCAACAACAACAACAACAACAACAACATCCACAGAATAGGTTCAGCACTTTGCAGGAGCTCAGGATAAAACCACAGCAGATTAACCATGCCACTGATGCAGAAACTTTAAGCTCCTGCTTAGTAACATTAAACATGCAGACAACCAAAAGGAAGAAGATGCAAAGCACCCAAGTTTGCTTATTAAGAGGAATTGTTGTTGTTGTTGTGTTACTTCAAGCCGTTTCTGACTTGTGACAGCCCTATCACAGCAGCTTCTTGGCAAGATTTGTTCAAAGGAGCTTTGCCATTGCCTTCCCCTGAGGCTGAGAGGGTGTGACTTGTCCAAGGTCACCCAGTGGGTTTGCCTGGCCAGGTGAAGATTCGAGCTCTCTTCTCCAGAGTCAACACTCAAACCACTGCACCATGCTGGCTCTCTTAAAATGGTCTCACAAATTTATTTGTAACCTGTACTAATCCTTTGTCGCCCTTTCTGCTCTTAATAAAGGACAACAAAAGATTATTATATGTTACGAAAAAATAAATCGTGAGACAATTAGAGCAAAACAGCCAAGAAGCTCACCCACTATTGAGAATGTGGGTGTGTAAGTGATTTAAACCTATGAAGTGCTTATGCAAGGTGCAATCGTAGGAGAGGGAGACAAGGACTCAGAGACCCTATCCCCCACCATGTTCCTATCAGTGCACTTTCACCACCATCCACTGGAAGGTAGTTGTGATCATAGAATCATAGAGTTGGAAGAGACCCCAAGGGCCATCCAGTCCAACCCCATTCTGCCATGCAGGAACTCAAAATCAAAGCATCCCCGACAGATGGCCATCCAGCCTCTGTTTCAAGACAGCCTTCAAAGAAGGAGACTCCACCAGACTCTGATCTGAAGCAGGGAAGCCCATTGTGCACAGATGACCTTCTCACCATGGCATGGGAACCTTGATCTCATGAAGAAAGGGGCCAGAATTAGTAAACATGGTTGGAAAAACTCATGTGTCAGCATTAGCATCACTTTATAAGGAGCCCTGGTGGTGCAGTGGTTAAATGCCAGTCCTGCAGCCGCAACTTTATAAGTTCAATCCTAGAGGAGGGCTCCAGGGCTCACTCAGCCTTCCATCCTTTTGTAGGTCAGTAAAATGAGTCCCCAGCTTGTTGGGGGGCAATTGGCTTACAGACTGTAAACTGCTTAGGGAGCACTAGTTCCCTGATAAGCAGTATGGAAGTATACTTGCTATTGCTATTTGTTTAAAAAAGTAATTTTGCTTGTGACATGTGAGTGACAAGCAGCATCAGTTACTAGCAAGTGCACTGGGAAATGTTCCTTTTCACATCTATAGCTCCAGTGGAATTTTTTCTGTTTTGGATAACAACTCTCAGAATGCAGGATTTGGGGAGTTATCATCCAAAAAAGGAATGCTTCCTGGTGACCAATATGTTACCAACATCTTCCTTTTTAATGGCTGTTTTTTTAAAACAAACAAACAAACAAACAAATGGAAATGGCTTTTTAAAAATATCCTGCAAAATGTTCTCTCCAACTAGCAAGCAAACACTAATTCTTAAAATATCAAGTACGGTGGGCTCTTGGTATCCATTTGCTGGCGTTTGGTTCCAGGACCACCCCGTCTCATGGATACCAAATTCTGTGGATGTTCAAATCCCATTATATACAGTGGCATAGTAAAATGGTGTCTCTTATATAAAATGGCAAAGTCAAGGTTTGCTTTTTGGGAATTAACAAAATATGTATTTTCAAGCCATGGAAGGCTGTATCTATAGATGCAGAATCTGTGGATACAGAGGGCTAATTATATACTCAAACACTAAAGCTAATATTTGTCAGTGAAACAGTTTTATCACTTAACACTATTGCCTTCATCTCCTGGTATTTTCCTAAGCGATGCATGGTGCGTAACACAGTTATTTGGTAGACTTTCTTTCCAAGAAGACATCCGTAAGTAGTAAGCCTGCTGTACACTATAGGCAGTAAGCTGTAAACATGGTAGCATTGCCCTTTCTCTTGCACAATAAAAGAGCCTTATCGCATGAGAAAAGAAAGCTGAAACAAATTGGGAGAGGAGTGA